AATAATAATAATACCAATAATAATAATTAATAAGCAAATAGGCATGGAGTAATAGTGTAGCAGTCTTAATTATTAACTTTGATCCATAAACTCTCTGCAGTGAGTCAGAATAGAAAAGAAATGAAGGCATGTTAAGGCAAAGTCCCGGCAGTAATCTAACAGTTTAATACAGTACAACCACTCTATTGACTAGAGTTCACTACGGTGACTCACCATAGAGGGCCTTGGCGCTGATTTTGCTGTCTGATCTGGCCACTCCACTGCAATGACATGAAGAAACAGGGTTACGCCGTACACCCTTCATTTTCTGTTTCCCCCCTCCTGCACCTCTGAACACCCGAAAAATCCCCTTCACGTCCTCACTGTCACGCAGCGATATATGAAGAACAGAACACTGGACACGATAAGCCTGAGATATTGAGCATATGGACCAGAGAGGGCCACTGAGGGGAGAGAGAGTGGGGGAGAATGGAACAGGGAGGGGGTATGGAGGAAGGATGGAGGCAGGAGCCCAGGCAAAGCAAACAATTTTCAACAGAGCTGCTCTGTGCCCGAGGTCCCTGACCAGCACCTCCTTCCACACACTGGGTTAGTGATTCTTTTCTACTGTGTGACAGAAATACAGCATGATGTGATTAGCTGACCCACAGAAGGTAAACAGTGAGGAGGAGGCAAAAAAGTGTGTGACACTCACTTGGCTGGCCTCGTCGGAGGTCCCAGGACACTCATGATTTAAGGCATTTACCTGAGGAAAGAAAGGAAATCCAACAGAGAACACTATGAGTGGCCAATGTTTGCTCGTAGTTTTTTTTTTTTTTTTTTTGAGCCGCCACTGAAACACGGGGCCGGGATGTTTAAATTTAGAATTTCCAGAAAGGTGGTAGAAAAACAGCAGTAGGTTTCCAGTTTGTTTCCCTTTTTGGTCAGTTTCAACAAAGTTGAAGCCTGCATTAGAGTCCAAACATGTTGGTAGGTATTAGTCAAATACAGACATGTTCATATTTGTAACATTCTAAGAGCTTTAATTCAATTAGCCAGATTACTGGAGAATTAGAACTAACAGCAATAATAATAAGGCGAGGTCAAGAAACAACTTTTTTTTTTTCTTAGCGTCAACGACAAAAAGATATGTCCTTTAACAGTTCCTGCATTTGTTAGAAATTAGGAAATTGGGAGAACAATTAGTGCATCACTATTCAACTGGCAAAGAGGAAGAAGAGAGAAGAGAAGGCCCTTCAGCTTCCTCCTTCCTCAGTGATCGTCAGCACAGTGATTTCACAGTAGATGTCATGTTTGACTCAAGTGTAGAACTTGTCACAGAGTCCACAGACCAGTTTAGATGCGTAGAGGGATAGAAAAGGAAAATCCAGAATGGTCTGAAATATTCAAAATCCAATTGGAAAATATTCAAAATCCAGCAATTGCGACAGCATGTGTTAGCATCAGCAGCCGTGATATCAGGGATCTGCAACTATGGAACGGACAATTAGGACGTTTCCATGAACTCCATGAATTTTTCATCAGGACAACGCCAGGCCTAAAGCTACACATTACAAAAGAATGCCTAGCTAAGGTGTGTGTGTGTGTGTGTGTGTGTGTGTGTGTTTTAATGGCTTTTTATTGATATAATACTTGGTCATAATGGAAGGAGAATAAAAAAACAGAACCAGGAACTAAACATCAGTTAAAGTCTTTTATACTGAAAGAATGGGGAAAGTCCCTCCTTAATCATGTCATATTTTCAGACCATAGTTTTCAAAAGTGTAACTTAAAAATAGGGGGTGTGTCCCAGAGATAAACATCTCTCTTCTTCTCATCTTTCGTCTTTGTCCCAAATCTTTTGTGGACTTTTGCTGTGTGTAGTTTCCTCTACGGTAGTTTTATGTTTCACAAATCAAACTGGTGAACCCTGGAAATCTTTTTCTTTCTTTCTTTCTTTTTTTTGTCTACACCAAATGACAGCTCTTAGTTTTTATTGCGTGGTAGAAAGTGAACCCGCTCCTCTGGAAATGGCTATTTAAAAAGCAGTACTTTGAACAGGTTGCAGAACTATGCAAACAGGAGGAGTTCTGCAGCTGAAACAGACTGTCTGTTCACTGTGCACAGCCAGGTGTTGGGCCTGCGCTGCTGGTAGTCAGGGGACTGCACTGAGACAAAGGAAGACAGCAGGCTGATGGACACCATGTAATTAGATATGCTGTCATATTGACCACATTTGAATAACTGCAATTATTTCATTTGCCTAGGTTTAACACCCTGCCATTTGAACTGATATATATGTATATATATATATGTATATATATATATATATATATATATATACATATATATACATATATATATACATATATATACATATATATATACATATATATACATATATATATACATATATACATACATATATGTATATATGTATGTGTCTATATGTATGCATATATATGTATGCATATATATTTACATATATATATTGTTTTGAAAATTGTGTGAAGTTTTCAAAGCAATATATATATATACATACATATACATATATATATATCTATATATATAGATATATATATAGATATACTGTATATATTGCTTTGAAAATGGTGTGAACTTCATTTAAAAGCTAACTAATGCCTTGCAGTGGAAGACAGTAAATCACAGA